AAAAAAAAAAAAAAAAAAAAAATGTTTGCTAGAAAACTATTTTGCACCATTTTTTTATCAAAGTTTGGTGTTCGTTTGGTTTCGTTTTACATGAAAATTGTCCATTAAAGTGAAATTTTTTTTATAACTGGTTATGAAATTTATTTTCATTGAAAAAAAAAATGGTCAGAAATTCCCTAAAAATAAGGAAAAATGGCGCGTGGGTGGGTTGGGGGGAAAAAAAATTTCTTGGAAAATTTGTGCCATCAAACAACACAAAAGCGAGAAGTGGGAAAATATTTTCCATGAAAAATTTAACAAATCAAACATGCCTTAGTGTAAATTTGTTGAGAATACAATTCAGAGTCATTAATCAAATGTCCTGAATTGCTACAATTAAAGTTGAGTGGTCACCGACTTGGATTTGTAAGCATAAGCATTTAAAACGGGTAAAACATGGACGTTTTCTACTTTTCAATAGCTAAGCATGTTAAAAAGAAAAAAGGAAAGTGAAAGTTACATCTAAACTTTTTTTTACATATAAATACAAGTTTAAAATTTTCTCCATCGACAAATAAAATAGATTTCTATGAAAATTAATTTCTTAATTTAATTTATTGGTTAAAAAATCCACCCCTCCTTTCCAATCCCTGCGGTGCCTCATCCAAAATGAGATAAAGAGAACTCCCAATCAGTAGTGTTATCAAGGTCGATGCGGCTTTAGGGCAAAATCACTACTCCTTGGTTGGAGATAGTTTTGGGATAGTGAACATGATCCCAAATTTGATTTCCAGGGCGCTTTTACCTCCTCGTGAGGATTGGAATGAGAATGAAAGATGATGTGATACTTAGGGACTCTCTGGGCCTGCTTTTTGAAACAGAAAAATGGATTTCATAGTCGTTACGTGTAAAATCAGGCCATCTTTTTTGACCAGCCATCTCAGATGTGGGGTCTACCTTGGCAAAGCAACGGTCAATGTTTCAATTTTAAGCTGATGAAGAATCAGCACCAGACATGTCCTTAATTTCCTTGTGGGACGGGAGATGGGATCGACCTATTGTCATCCTTATCCTTATTTTTCTACATAAATAAATTGAAGATATATCATGGCCCATGGTTTCAAATTCTTTAACAATGTAAGCTTAAAGTTTTACGAAATCAGTGTGCTTCTAAACCTGAAAAATAAGCACGTGAAACAGATTGAAAAGTACAACTCTTTTACATTGGCAGGCTCAAAAAGCGAGTCAAACGACTGAAACCTCGACCATGGACTGACCACGTGGACCAATCAGCCTCTTACGGCGCATTGATCTACTTTGCTCGATTCGTGTGCCTATTGTGATGAACAAATGATAAGCCACCAAATTTATATATGTAAATAATCCGTGAACTAAGGCTGTACCTCTAGCATCGTTCTTATTCAGCACACCTAGTATAAGATACCATTCTTTCTTTAAAATAAAAAAATAAATGACGAGCATGTATAATCTGTTTTGATTTAGATAAAAATAAAATTTTTACTAAATTTTAATAAAAAATGATGAAATATATGATTGAATAGCAGTGGATTGAACTCTTCTACATAGTAGATATAATTTTTGGAAGAATTAAGCTTGGTGTACGACAAGTTTGACACTCAATATGTCAAAATTTGAATCATTAGTTATTTAGAGTGTCGTTAAAATTAATGTATTGAAAATTGTCATTTCATAACAGTGTCAAACTTGATGTACATATAGCAATATTGTTTTTGAAAACTGAAAGATTAGACCCACTTGAAGTATTGGGTTAGTGAGTCACTGATTCGACTAGTGGATCATCGACGGATCGAAAGTGTAGTTAAAAAAATATTTTTCTAACTCAAATATGAGGAATTTGTATATAAAATAAAACCTAAAGTTAACTTGTCTTAGTTTATGAATTATTGACTAATAATGTCTTGACTTCAGTTTGAGGGTTATTTATAGTGTTTCTTTAGATAAGATGTATATAAAACAGCCTATCGGAATTCCGTTGTAGTCTAGTTGGTTAGGATACTCGGCTCTCACCCGAGAGACCCGGGTTCAAGTCCCGGCAACGGAATCTCTTTTTCCCTGGATTTTGTTGTTGCTCAGTGCGCTTTGAACTGGTGCGCTGTTTTTGCGCCATTCTCAGTTCAAAAAAAAAAAAATAATAATAATAATTAAGAATTAACCACAGAAACAACATTTTTTTTAGGAATCAATAATGCGCCCTCCTATAAATGTGTCTTGTTTACATCACAATATTCATTATTTAATACTGGTATGAAGTAAATTCATGAAATTATGCATATTTTGATCCAAGTTCAAGAAAGACGTGGTTGACCAGATTTCGTATATGAATGTTTGGTAAGAGAATTCATCGTTGGGAAACAGTATGTAAAGCAACGCTTTGTCACATCTCCAATCGGTGTACAAATGAAATAGACTCTTTCTATATATTGTAGATGATTTTATTACTTGAGAATAATCATTTTGTCTATAAAACTATTGGACGAACCTGAATCAATTAAGTAGCCTATTGTAAATGTACCTTGTTAAAGTTTCAATTTCTTGCCTCTAATGCTGATATCAAGTAAAATCAGTCTGCAGTCCCTATTTTGAGCAACCTTTAACAAAGGTGTGGTGTGAACATTTTTTCCCCTTATAGTGGCTCCCTTACCAGATTTCATATACAAATTTATGCTCTGGGATCTGATCTATTCATGTTTGGTTCACAGTACAAGAATCATTGCATCACTCATCCTCCAAGTTGCCGCACGGAAGAACTTGCCACTTCCTTCATCCCAAATATTCCACTATTAGGTGCAACCTTGAATATTCATCCCAATAGTAGATCGGAAAGTGACTTGTCTTCCGAGACAAACCCTCTTGAAAATTCTCCAGTTTTGTACTTTATAACGTAATCACAACGCAAGGAAGTACAATTGAAAAAACAAGCAGGATAGTGTTAAGGAGATATTGGTAGAGGTTCAACCTCAACAAGAAGTATGGAGAATGCAGTAAAAGACTAGAGAATCGATGCTTAACAAGTACAAGATATTCTGAATGGTTTCGAGTCCTCAGCATCAAATACTAACGAAGTCAAGATAATTAAAGTACTACAACAATTACAAACAAGTACTACATGGTAAGCAACCATTTTTTCCCTAGCCAAAACATAAAATGAAAAACAGGTTTAAAATTTCTATTTGTTGCCCTTCTTTTTCCACAGGTCTCCAAACATTCTAATGCCAGAACCTTTCCTCTTTCCGCTCCCAAAAACATCGTCCGGGTCATCAATTAGCCCAGGTGAACCCACATAACCGGCATATCCGCCAACAGGTTCGAACACATTACCATAGTTTTTGTCCATTGATCCACACCTCTCGGAGAGCCTTCTGCCATTCATTTCCACACCACCAGCTAGAACTGATGCTGCAGCATCAGCTGCTTTTCGCCATTGCTCGGTGTGAATATGAAGCTTCTTCATTTCAGCTTGTAATTCTTCTTTCACTCTTTCCGTAGTTTCTAGCTTCTCATTTAACTGAAGAACATTGGTTTTGCTCTTTTCCAGCTCTTGTTCAGCTTGATTCAACCTGAAAGTCATTTCCTCTCCCTTGGATTGAGCTGAGGAAAGTTCCAACAACTTCTCATTTATCTCGATTTTTAAGCCTTCGTTTTCTTGGCGAAACACTTCTAGTTCTTTTTCCTTCTCCTCTAGTTTGGCCTTTAATATGGTTATCTCATCGTTCTTCAAGGCCACTTCGTCAAATGATAGCTTTTCTGGCTCTGTCATGGTTACTGATTCAATTGATAAGCTGACAGCTTTCGGTTTGAGTTCATCTTGATCAGAAGGTAGGCTCAGTTCAGTCTTGGATTCAACACTTACTTTCTTGACCGGTACTTCAAAGACATCAGTTTCCTGCTGGTTTTCCTCAGACAATACAACAGCAACAGTTCCTTCCTTTTTGTTTGATGCTATATTTTCAGTTGGTGTGGAGTGTTTTTCTTGGACTTCAACAGGCTCAGGGACCATTTGCTGTTTCTTAGATTTCTTCTCGAGTTGTTCTTGAGCCGGGGTAGAGTGTTTTTCCTGGATTTCCACTGGCTCAGAGACCATTTTCTGTTTCTTCGATTTCTTCTCGAGTTGCTCTTGAGCGGCTTTCTTCGCAGCCTCAGCTGAGGCTAATTGGTCTTTCAGGCTTTTAAGCTCGTCCTGTGCTTGGCCAAGCTGGGATTCCAAATCTGCAATGCGGGTTCCAAGTTTCTTTTGGTTCATTGGATCAGAATAAGCACCTCGTGGGGATCGACCATCTGTCAATCTTGTGCTCCGATCAGCTGAACGATGATGTGGTGGATCAGATTCAGAGCTTGATGTCCTCAGATGAAGTGGTACTGCTCGGGGAGATTGCCTTTGCGGCATTTCTGTTCCTCTGATCCACGAAATATGAATTGATCAAAACAAATAAAATAACATGCACTATTGCACAAGAAAGCATTCCCAGACTGTAAGGTTACCTTGATCTTGGCATTTGATCGACTTACAGAAAACCTAATCGATGGAAACACTGATGAAAGATCGAAGTTACTCACCCTTTAATCTGCAAATCATAAACACAAAGAAATATCAGATAACGTAGTTAAAATAGAATATCAAATCAAAAATATAAGCGGATTAGTTTATCCTAGTGTTCTAAAAAGTGTAAACCGTGGTGAGTCGTGAAGGCCAAGCTTCGGACTAGGCAGGCCTAGGAGTAAAAAAGCGTGCCTAGGCCCGACTAGAAAATAATAATAATAATAATAAGCGTGAGATGGGCCGTTTTGCATCCACTTCCCGCCTAGGCGCTGCTTTTAGAACAATGGTTCATCCTATAACATTTGAGGAAGAAGGAAATTCTTCTATCAATGTGTTCTTTTTCGATCTAATGTACAATATCATCAAGACATCTCTTAGTGTCTTAAATTAGACCTCCTATATAACAGGGAAAAGAGCACGTACATCATGAATTCAACAGCAACACTGCATCAAAATTGTTAATAACACATAAAATTTTGAAGTTCGATTGATTTTCGACGCGACAAATTTTTAAAAAATCTCGATTTCGTTCCAGCAAATATATTTGAGAGAGGCTGCTACTCATTTTTGCTAAAACTTCTATGGTAACATGCCTTCCAATCTTAACAACATGATTCAACACAAATCTCAGTCTCCAAAATTGACTCAATTTCAAACTTCTCATGTTTCCTATCATGAATGAATCTTCAACAAAAAAAAAGTAAATTTTTACTTCTAGTTCTGCCAATATTATTTTTAAGTTTCATTGATCTCAGTAAATAGAGCATATAGTGCAAATATTCATGCCTATTCCTAAGCCGAATAATGTATAGTGTTCCATCTTTTGAGAGAAAAATATCAGTAAGAAAATGAAAAGACACACGTTTCCTTGAGAAAAAGAAAAAGTAAAAGTAAATTTTCAGTCCACTTATTGCAGCACCAATCAATATTATGAAAATGTGTGCACGCATTGGTGTAAATCTGTGAGATTTAAAATTTACTGATCTAATTTTCACAAACATTAACCTGTAATTTGTTCCACTAATCAAGAACTAAATAATTAATTATGAATTTATGAGTCATTTACTAAAACTGAAAAAAAAAACACCAGAAAACAAAATTCTAGAAAATGACACAGAGACTATGCATTGAACTGAAGATAACTGATAGAAACATTGGATTTAACCATTAATCCAAGTCTTGAACAAAGAATAAATAATCAAAACATAATCAAAAAGCAGATCAAAATGATTTAAAAGATGCATCTGAAAATCTAGAAATAGTAGATTTGTTTTTCAAGTTTCAAAAATTTTCCTCTTGCATCAGAAAAAAGAATACAGTGAAAATTCTTACCTTGAATGTGCTCTCTTCTGTCAAAATCTGCTGCAAGATTTGAATGAGAGAAAGTTCATACCATATCAAGAGCGTAAAAATGAAATAAAAAGGCTTTGGCTTTCAAGCCGTTGAATGGCAATTATAAAAGCACGCGTGTGTACATATATATTGTCAGCTTTTCTTGGGACACGAGACTGGGCAGTGAAATGGTATTTGAAAATTTGAACTGGGAAGATGGAGAATAATATAGAGTGAGAAGAAGAGGACAAGAAAGTAATTTTGAGAAAGTTTTTGGGAGTGGACATGTGAATCTTGGAAAGCCAACTTGGACGACAGTATCTTTCTTTTGTTTACTCTTGTCTTTTCTTCTTGTTAGGGTGTATTTGATCCACATTATTTTGAAAGAATATATTCTGAAATAGTAATTTGATGGAGAATTTGTGGTTGAAAAAGAAGGAAAAGTTATTGATGTGATGAAAAATATTATTTTATTGAAGAATGTGTGGTTGAAAATGAGTAGAAGAATGAAAATGAAAATTTTAATGTGTACCAAACAGGTATTTAAATTTTAATGTGTACCAAACATGTATTTTTCAACTCTCTCTTTTGCGTTTGACCTTTCAATTTACTTTAAACTTCTATCTAGGAAATAAGAGGAAGAAAGTGTCTCTTTTGGTGTTTGAGGATGGTTGTATTTTTGTTGTAAGGAAAAATTTTTGTAAAATTATTTGAACTTTATGGAGCAAAATGGACTATTCGTGTTGTCATCTTTTTGTTTAAAATCAAATTACATTTACACTAATTTTTTTATTAAATTTGACATTCTTGTGAAATGACATTTTCGAAACGTTAACCTTTAGAACAATTTAAATAATTAATTGTACAGATTTTGACAACACTTGAAATGTTAAACTTTATGTACACCAAGTGCATACAACTAGTTTAATCATTTTGTTTATTATTTTTTATTATAACTTAGTTGCTTTTAGAAATAGTTGCACATATATATTTTAACAACGTTGGCACCTGCGTATTACTCTCAAAATTAATGAAAAAGTTTGTAAATATTGAGATCGATAATAAGTTAACAAAATTTATAGTTATGCATGTTACAAACAACAATAGAGCTCTAAATGCTAGATAATCCATAACTCTGTTATCCTCTCGATAGATTTGAGCAATAACAAACTTTATTTGCGAAAGCAAATTCAAACTTATATCTCAAACGATATGCCAACACCATAGAATCTTCTGGGATTGCGTAATAGCCACACTACATATTGTTAATTGAAGTAGTTTAAAGGTGATTTTAACCAAAGTCGAGCGTAGTATAAAACCAGTGTTACTCTCTTCAATTCGAAAATAGCTTCATTCGAGAGTGTAATAATTATTTTTCTAGACACTTCTATAGCTTTGATATAACTATTAGAAGTTGGCGGGGCCATCCACTGTCCTCCATAACATGCTAGGTTCTGCTTGTCGTCTAGTAAAAAAAAAAAACATTGAAGTTTGTAATAATTCATAATTTTGCATGTGACATTGATTTCAATTAAGTCAATGAAAATTTTGACTCTATAGGTCAATTTCACTAGGAGACAATTTTAATAGTTTGTTTAGTTCAATAAATTTCAAAATCGTTACAAGAAGTTAAAATTTTATAAATATATAATTTAAAATGCTATAATTGATGCAATGAAATCAAATATTTTATATATAACATTAGCTCAAGATTTTGTAGTCATTATCAATTATGATTTTCGGACCCATCAAGGGATTCTACATGTTACTCATCGAATAATAGTTGTATTATTTAACGTATACGTACTATCAATCATTGGTCTACTCATTTAACAAGCAAACAACTTGGTCTCTTGATAGTTTGATTGTCCATATAATTATAATAAGATTAAGCAAAAGTAATTTAAGATATGAATTATTAGACCATAATTATCATTTATAATACGAATGTGTAGACTTTCTATTTCGATACAATTTATAAATTGGATTATGAATTCAATCAAAATTAGACATAATTTCAACTGTATATTTATAACTAATATTCATTATTATTCATATATTTCGTGGGATCAACTACTGTTATCTTTATTATTCCTATTTAAATCGTTTATAAATTTGTCGAATGAAAGATGGTGGTGGGAGAAGTTATTTCTTGAATATGCAAATGATACCAAAAGAGTAGATGGGTTCAAATATAATTTACAAGACATAGCATGTGAAGCTTGATTGTAAATCCAACTACTCCAAGGGACTATCTTATTATTTCATTGCCCTACCTCACCCTTTTGTCACTTGTGTCTTTCACTTTAATTGACTCAAAGATTGGTCTTCCATTTATTATTAAATCCCAATTCTAGCTAGTCATCGAATAGAATATGCTGGCAATTTCTCATTTTAGTTTTTCGCCTTTGTTTGAAAGTTATTATTTAAACAACTTTTTCCCTACACTCAATTTCAATCATATTTTAAAAAATAAAAAATAAAAAATCAAGCTTTCCCATAACTTTTCTATATTTTTAACGGCATATTTTCGAAAAGAATCACTTTTACACGATCACTTCATCTCACAACAATCGAAATGTTTTGCAACATAATGAGGAAGGAATACTAACTCTTTGAAAAAAAAATTAAATTAAATCGAAGTTTTCCACCGCTAAAAAACTTTCTTGAAATCAGAAGAGAAAATGTTGAGATAATGATTTAAGAAATGATTTTTTTAAAGATTCAATCCATTTTTCTCTAACTATTGATCAGTTTCATTTGGATTTTTAGTCTCAAAGTAAATTGAATTCCATAAATGATGAGAATGGCATTAATTTCTTACCATGAATTATTAATGATGACAGAGACGACTTTGAGGGTGAGAGAGTTGAGCGATCGCACGAGGTCTCAATATTGTTGAGGCAACAAAATTTTTTTTGTTATGTGTATTTTTAAAATTTTAATTATTATATAAAGATAAAGGAAACAATGTTTATAAAAAAGAGTTGAAAATAGACAAATAATGATTTTCACTTATCATTATTGAATTTCTTATTCCTAATTGTGTATCATGCCAAGACATTTTTAGTAAAGCAAGGGAAATTATTCAAATGGTTTAGACTCTTTCATAGCTAATTTCAATGTGTTGTACTTAATTATTTTCATTTATGGATTATTTCTTTATTAATTGTAAATGTTTGACTTGGTATGATATACAATTGCATAAGATACTAAATCTAATAAATATGTGTCGACTAGTTATAATTTTCTTGAATATAATTTTCTTAAATACTATCATACCTTAAATAATGTGAGGGAAAAGGAAAAAGAGAAAAAAAATATATAATTCGTAGAAAGAAATATTTTGATGAAATGCTACTGTAGATGACGCGTAATCACCTGAAGATTCTTTCAGAATCAATTATTTCATTTATATAGTAGATCAAGCAATTGAATCACTTGAACGAAGGTTCAATCAATTCAATTCATATGAAGAAAAAAATTGGATTTATATTTTCTTCTAACAAGTTAAACTCATTAGATGATACTAATTTGAAAGCATGTTGTAATCATCTTGACATTAATGGCGAAGATTTGTTTCAAGAGTTAAAAATTTTGCGGAATCTTTTATCAAAAGAAATAAAGACAGTTTTTGATATATTGACTTATTTGAAAAGATTGGATTGTTTTTCGAATACATTTATTGCTTATAGAATATTATCGACAATTCTTATCACGATTGCATTTATCGAAAGAAGTTTTTCAAAATTAAATTTATTAATGTTATTTACAATCAACCATGTTACAAGAGCGATTGAGTGATTTAGCTTTGATATCTATTGAGCAAGATTTGTTAGAACTTGTTGATTACTAAAATTTAATTAATGAGCTTGCTTCTAGAAATCTGAGAAGATTACATCATTTATTGTATTTCAAGGTTTACACGTAGTATTTGATATTTCTGATTTCAAGATTTGCTTATATGGAATTGCGCAAAGAGTTTAGGCCTTGTTTGATAGCTTAGAAAATGGTGGAAAAATAAAATGTTTTCTAACTGTAGCCAAATAAGGGTGTTTGATAGCACAAATTTTTTTCCTACATTTTTTTAGGTATAACTCTTTGATACACATTTGCCTGATTTTGTTTTCCCACCTATTAGGTGGGAAAGCAATTTCCACCATTTTTTTAGCAATGACAACAAATTATATCATTCATTGTAAAAAAAAAAAATTCACTTTTGTTGATAAATTCTATGCAAAATAAAGTCAAACGAATGATTCTTCTGTATGGTAATTTTTTCTAATAATTTTTTTTTTTTAACATTTTGGTAATTGGAACAAATTTGAGACGCAATGGTAGAAAAAATTATCACTTTAATGGACAATTTTCATAAAACACGAAGTCGAATGGACTCCAAACTTTCAACATTTTTCAAGTGAAAAATTATACCAATAAAAAACAATTAATTACAATTTCCAGTAAAACAAATTTTAGGCAATTCAATTCCCAGTAAAATATTTTCTTTCCACCTATTTTCCACACTTGTCAATTTTGGTGAATTTATTGAATTTTATGGGTTAATTTTCTTCAACCCCTTCCAACAAGCAATCTCTCTTTGCTTTGACAATTGACATCTCATCCAAAAGGAGAGATTAAGGAAAAACAAAGGTTAAAATAAATATTAAAACTTTCAAAAGAAGACTAAAATAGAAACCAAAATAGTTAAAAAAATATAGAGTCTGTTTGGTAGGAATTTTTGGGGGAAGAATTGATTTTTGAATAGTGATATGATAGGAAATGTGTGGTTGAAAAAGATGAAAAAATTATTGATGTGATGAAAAATATTATTTTATTAAAGAATGTGTGGTTGAAAATGAGAATTGATTTACTGTAGAAAATCAAAATCCATATTAATGAAATCAAATTATTTCCACACAAATTCATTTCAAAAAAACTCTCGCTAAATAACAAATCTAGAAGTTCAAGACACAAAAACACACCTTGAAGAGCATTCAAACATATTTATAAAAATTCTAATAAAAGAAAAATTACCTTTTTACAGCTATGAAGCAGGAACAATGTATCTATCAATCTATCAGTGTATAATCCTTATGTAGAATGTGTAACAATAAGAGATAGAGAGAGACCGAATATTTAACAGCCAGACGGGAGAGCGAACAGAGAGGAGATGAGAGGAGAGGAGAGGAGATGAGAAATGACTTAATGTTTTCAATTATTTCCACTTTTTGTACAACTTTTTGGAGTTGTCATCTCAAGAATGAGTTGGGTATTTAAATTCTTTAAAGGGGCAAAAATATCCAAAAATGATAATCTTGCAAAGGCATTAAAAAAGTGACATTTTTGAAAATACAAAGCCAAAAAATGACATTTAGTGCAATTTCCTCATTAAAAAAAGAAATGCACAGAGTGGTTTACAGAATGCTACATGGCAACATTTGATTGAATTTTGGACAAAAGATATAACTAAAACAGCCACCCATATTTCGATCTTGAAACTACATTTCTATCACTTTGGCCCTTGTAAAATGTGTCAAGTCTGTCAATAGTGCTGGTGCATACCATCTATGAAGGGATTGGTTTCTGCTTCAGACATCCCACTATTTGAACATGTAATATATAGTAGGTGTTTGGTGGGGATTAAAATTAGATTTTTAGTTGATTGTAATAGAAGTTTTTGAAATATGTGGTTAAAAAGCTGTGAGATCCATGAAACATGTGGTTAATATTTTTTGACTTTAACTCAGATTAAAATTTGATTTTAATTCGAAACGAACAAGACCATAGTATGTACTCCATATTGATTTCGAACTAATATTAGTCTTAGTGTCCAACCAAGACGATAACAGTTTTAACTCTCTTAATTTCGCAAACTTATAAATCGACATAGTTTAAAGGACATAACAAGAAATAAGTTGCAAGAAGCAACAAATTCATAGGTAATAATGCAAATTTATTTTTAAAATTAAGCTGTTATAAGCGTAAAACATGAGCAATACAACGTGCACTCAAGAAGCATATATAATCTTGATACCACCAATGGTAATGTCATCTCCTCCAGCTTTCGGCACCAAAGAAATCAATATTTTTTCATCATCTTCGACATCCAAATCCTCTAACAATTCACTTAATCCCAACCTAATTTTAGTCTTCGACAGGGACGAATTCTTATGGGGCACCTGCGAGAAGCACCCGGCGTACTCTGCCTTGTCTAATGCATTTGGATTATCATCTTCGTCGTTCACAAATACATCAAACTTCACAAATTTTGCAGTGTCCACTTCAATCCCTTCAATCACTAGTAGTTCCTCTTCTTTTTCCTTATCCTTCTTACTCCTCGATTTTTGAGGCCTAGGAACCAAAACCTTGACAACTTTGTCTAGTTTCACCGGGAAAGTACTAGTGTCGACAGATGGAGCAGCCGTGGTGGTGGCTATTTTGGACTTCTTTGCACTTGCGGCCGGCCTATTCTTCAGCCATGGAGTATCGACCTTTTGGAATTCGTACCCCATTTTTTGTTGGTCCAGTGTGTCTGCCACTTTCACGCGTACAAGCTGGGCATTTTCATCGTAGAATAAATAGCTGGCATTCAACCAATCCGAGTCGACAAAGTCCTTTGTTTTCGAACCCCTTAGATCCCTCCATATCGTCCAAAGCCGATCAACGTTAGTATGGTGGCAAAAGAACAAAGATTCTCGACCACAGGAGTAAAAATTGCCCATGTCCTCTCCAGAACTTGTGGCTTCACCAACCCACACGTGAAGCACTGCGTGCGATCCACGCTCCACCGTTCCTGGCCCGGGGTCTGGTTGCGTCCCCGTATTATATCTTGCTCCATAGAAGTCCTCAAGGTTCTGGACATTACGTACCATTTCATTGTACATCACCGTAAGGTTGTTAGAAATTATTTGTGTGGTATCAACCGATTGGGTGGTTCCGGAGTAGGCAAGATCAGTGACAGCCGGTGGCAGATGATTTTGGTTACGTCTCGCATTAAATAGGGGCGAACTAGGTTTCACGAACATGGCTGGCATGGCCATACCCTTAGGATTGTCCCAGTTCCAAAATGGCAAACCAAAAGTGGGATCATCAATCAATTTTCCCAAGATTCTTTCATAAAAATACAAGTACCATCTATGCCATGGATAGAAGTGCCAAGAATTGTGAATTTGAATCTTCAAATCTGAGTCACCAACTTGTTCATAAGTAAGGTTACAGTAAGCACAGTGCACATTGGCTTGTTGCATGAAATTTCGCGGATCATCAGCCGGAAGAGCCTTCATAAGCTCGACAGCTTTCTCGTATTTAGCTACATACTCTTCCGTGACCAAATGCGCAGCTGGCCGGAATCGCATTTTGGTCACCGGAGGAAGCTTGTAATCAATGATTTTTGTTGCTACTGGAGGGCAACAGTCCACGTCCAATGGTTGGCTAGTGTTCAAATTTGTGCCCTTAGTGCATTTGGTGAAATCAGGAGCTGCTAGTGGAGTTGCAACTGCTGGTGAAGCAGAAACTAGATTGGCTGCACTGTAAAGTCCTCCCATTCCTAGAAGTACATTTCTTCTGTCAATCTTCCCGTGGGAGGTATCATCACTCTTGGTGCTACCTTTCTGGTTTTGCTCACAGGACACCTGAAAGCGGTTGCTTCGCTTTGCATTGATCAAAATATGCGACGGCCTCGTTACAAATGGGGAGGAGGTGGTGGTGATGGACCATGAATATGGAAGAGAAGCCATGGTTAGGAAAGGTAATACGTTTGACTTGAAAGTACCAAATATATAGACTTGGATTATGGTCTAACATTAGGGCGGCTAGAAATTTTTCCACAGATAAAATCCAATTTGTCTTGGCTCAACACCCTTGACAAATTCTCTATTAGGGCGGCTACATACTTTTCAAAATTACAAGTCTTCACAAATTTCTTATTGGCCAGTAAAAGTAACATGGAGAAAAGTGGGACGAAAGGGGCTGAACCCCGTTCTCTCCGTGATATTTTTCCAATCTGTGTTCTATCATGGAGAAAAGTGGGACGAAAGTGGGAGTAAAATTGTACTGTTAATCTATTAGGTATGCAAATTATTTGAAACATAATATAATACAGAATTGAAAGAAGAATAACAAAAATGAGTAGGGTTAATTCAAGGAAAACTTAAACCTTCGAATTATAGTTGTTAAATTCGATCTGGACCGTCTGATTTACTAGAGAACTTGTGAACTTGTCAATTAATTGGGCCGTTTCTCTAATTGAACCAAACAAGACATTGACTCGCAAAAAATTAGATTGACTAAACCGCCCGAAGTAGCGGTTGAACCGATTCGTTCACAATTTTAGTTTTTACTTGTATATCTCTTGCTCAGAATTATGGACAAGTTTTGAAAATCTAGTTTAACCAAAAAAATCGTCTCCAATTATATGTCTCTTACGCTTTCAATTTTTTTAGCATTGTGATCTTGGCCTTCCACATGGTATTCTGTCGTTGGACACTGCCCAAAGAATGCAGTGTTTTCAACACTACATAAGTAACTTGCAGGGGGATTGTCCTGTACCAATATTTTAATTTTTTCTGCAATTAAAGAACGAGTCAAGAAGCAGGTGATGGGATGGCGCAAGGGTTTATTTGTTGCTGCAATGCTACTCGAAACGAAACTCTATCTTGCTGGTGGTACCTACCTATGTCATGAGCTTATTCAAGCTTCCAATACCGGTTTTTGATGATCTCCAGAGCATCTCGCTTCATTTCTGGTGGGGTTCAACTTGTGGGAAAAGACAAAATGCAGTGAGTTAAATGGAGCAAAATTTGTATGCCAAAGGGCAAAGAGGGCTCGATTCCGAGGCATGAGACTCTTTAACCAAGCTCTAGCGGCGAAGTACGTATAACGCATTATGATTTCTCCAAATTCTTTGGCATCTATACATTAAACAAAGTATTTTCCAAAGGAGACATTTTAACAGCTACAAATAAACATGGATCTTCCTTTGTTTGGGCTTCAATTAAACCATTTGTATTGACAAAATGGCAGAGTTTATTGTTACAATATTCTTTAGTCACCCTGCAAAAGAGTGTTGAGAAAAGTGGATGAAGAACGAAAATAAAACTAACAACAAATCGTCAAAATTGAAGGTTTGAACACGATTATGAGTCGCTGTTCTCAAACGATATTTGTCAACATCGAGGTAAGTGCTTGAAGGCTTCAAGGCAAATACTTTGCAGAAGTAAACAAATCTTAATCCAAATTGGAATCAAGCAAACAAAACTTGGAAAATAAACTTTGAAGGACAATATAAAAAAACTAGGTTTGATCCTTAATTTTGGATGTTGATGAATGAATTTGATATTTGTGATATGTTTTCAATCAAACAAGCAGCTGATCATCACGTACTTATTGTTCTATCAAGCAAGCTTCATGCTGCTAAATGATCACAAATCACTTGCAAGCCAGGTGGAGGGGCACTTAGAGTTGGAGGTTCAGTGGAAGGGCAGGGGTGGTACACGAAAGAAGCTGAGGTTATCTTGTGATATGCATTGTCTAATGTTCATCGGTACTGAAAGAAAATGAAAATTCATCAACGTAGCGTTGGGAATCTTTTATACGACGAAGACAACATGTTCCAAATCTCCCGAGCTCTAGGTCTAACATATATTGATTTTGAAACTGCTATATAGGCAAAAACCCCTTCTTCCAATCTTTAGTCAATTCTTCATTGCCTTACAAAGTCGTGAAATAACTCTCGATACTCAAGAAAAAAAAACAAAGATTGATCATCGTCAAGCTTTCTTTAGACAACGAGGAAGAGGATGCAACCAGAGAGGAGGGCACTATGGAGGCCGTGGAAGAGGTTTTCAAAAACAGGGTTGAAGGTAAAAAAAATTCTCATAATCACAAAAATTCTCCAACTACTAAATTACTCAAAATTCTCAGCGAAAACTCAAAATCTCAAGAAATTAAGGATGTAAATTCATCTCATGTCACATTTGTCAAAGAGAAATCATTCAGCAAACAAGTGTTGGTTTAGGTATGACTCGAACTTACTAGAGCCTTAGCATCCATGAATATTCGACAACCTGTAGTTCCAAAGTTTTATGCTGATATTGGGGAGACAACGAAGTTTTTGTTGGTACCATTTCATAGATTCAAAACTTACTTTTGTTTACCATATTTAACCCCCGTATGGTTGAGATAAAAAATAGATATTTTTTAGTAAATTTTGATAAAAGTTTATGAAATGTATGGTTGAAAAGTTTTGTATCCCATGAAATATGTGGTAAAAATGGTTTATAATTCTCGCCGTGAAAGTTTCAATGCAACGCATGCAAATATAACTTGTACCAAGTAGGGGTGGGCGTGGGTTGGGTTGGGTCGGTTTTTGCCCCAACCCAAAACCAACCCAACATTATCGCTTTGTTCGAAATCCAACCCAACCCAACCCATGTAAATGTTGAAACCCATGTACCAAGTATCTGTCCTCTGGTAATCCATTTTCCCTTTCTTCTGCATGGGCACCGCAACCACTAGCATGTCTCCCTTGTAGCATTATTAGGAGCTTAGATTAGACCAGCTGATATCAAGTGACGCATACAAAGCGTGTGGAATCAAGAACTCCGGGATTTAGGGTCATTGACTAATCCTTAGATTATGGGTCAAAAACCAATATTTGGGAGAAATCTCCATACTTTTTGTACAATATATTAAACCAACCAACCCACATTAAACTCTACTCTTACTTGAATGGAAAAACTCTACAAAAAAGTGGAACAACTAAAGATTTAAAAATAACCCTTAACTATAAGTCTTTAATTAAACAATAAAATAAAGGCTATGAAATATTTAATCTTCGATTCTGTCTCCATCATTTAATCTATGACCGGTTGCGGTGATAAGATCACATGAATTAATCAATCTGAAGGTTGTCAAGAAATCAATATAAATTACTCATATGTGAAACTGATAGGCTCAATTAGGCGTAGACGAAAAGAAATTGTTCTTACACTTCATTAAAAATATTTAGATGTTTTAGTCATTTTACTATGTCTTCCGTTCTTCATCACTAGAAGGACAAATTACTTTAAAAAATTGGAAATTTGGAATTATACATCAA